ATGGTTAGCCTGACTGCAATGCTTGCCCTTAGTGAGTGGCAACCAAACCCTTTGGTGACTCACTGAGTATATGTGCTCTTCTACTTTGGAGACGGTCTTGCACCTGTTTTTGCTCCTACCCCCAAACTGGAAAGCCACTTACTTTCTAAACAGGCCATACTTATTTTCAACGCTTTTATCACCATGTTTATCAAAATTAATGTTGCTCTGCATTCCAAATAAAGGGTTGGAAATAGAACCAAAGTCATAATCCCAGCATTTAAAAAAAAGAAATGACCAAGATTTAAACATAAAACAATGTATACATTTGTTGAAATACATCAAAGGGTATGGGCAGAGGGGGAGGCAAAGGCATCAAAGATCACCAGCTATGTCCAGACAGCATCTTCAGCCTTCAGCTGCCACCATCTCAATAAGGTTACCAAAGAAAGGGGAGTGTGACGGAATGGAGGTAATTTGGTAGAGTGTATGGCATCATGCACAAAGGCCTTGGTTTGATTCTCAGCACTTCATAAACCTGGGCAGGGTGACTCACACCCATAATCCCAGCACTCAGGAAGCAGAAGCAGGAGAACCGCAAGTCCAAGATCATCCTCCAATACTCAGCAAATTTTAGACCAGGTTGGAATACATGGGAGAAAGTCTCAAGAAAGGGAGAGTGGGAAGGAGATTGTTGACTTTAAATGGGAGCCATTTTCACCAATGCCTAGAATTTAAGTAACCAGACAAGATGTGAATAATTTGAAAAGCCACGAAGTTGTATCATAATTTCTAATTTCTAATTTCTCTGATAGCTGAGGGTGTTGAATACCATTTGAATTTCTTCTCTAAAGAACTCTGCTCAGCTCATTAGCCCACTCTTTATTGTTTTCTTTTTTGGTGGTGGAGGGGGATTTGATTAGTGATAAGTTTCAGTAAGGGTGGTTTTTTCATTTTTTTATTTTTATTTCATTTTACATTCCAACCACAGTTCTCCCTCCCACCCCTCCTCCTACCCCCCTCACCTCTACCCTAGCCCACCCCTAGTCCAATCCTCCTCATGGGTAAGGGTTCCCATAAGGAGTCAACATAGTCTGACACAATATGTTGGGGCAGGGCCAGACCTCTCTTCCATGCATTAAGACTGAGCATGGCATCCCACCATAGGGAA